GTCATCATCCACCGGGGGGCGGGTTCGTCTTCTCCACAACTTTCAGAGCTGTTACCATTCAGTAGGGTCGAAAAGCGCTACCTCCATAATTTTTGTATGTTCTGGACATCAGTTACTAGGTCGCCATTGTTGTTCTTAAAAGAGTTCGCCCTGGCCTTAAAAACTTCCAGAAATTGCAAAACTCTCTGGTAAAATTTTCGGGAGTTTTTCCTGTCGGCCAACATTTCAAGTTCTTCGTACTCACGTATTTCGGTCCCTATCTTCTTAATGCGGCAAATGCGTCTCGCTTCCTTCTTCAGCACCTTGTAACGGTCCCACATGGCTCGCGTTGCGCCCGATCGCAGCGTGGCCCTATAGGCGGCATCCTTTTTCTCTGCAGCTTCTTGACACTCTTTATCGTACCAGTTGTTCTCTTGGCCTCGCTGAAATCCGATTACTTCTTCGGCGGCTTTACTTAATGAACAGGAAATAAGGTTAGACTGCTCGCATAAGTCGGTTTGTTAAAGAGTGCTCTCTGAGAGCAGGTGTGAGAGTTGAGTAGCGAATGCATTGGCCTTCTGTTGTGATTGTAGCTTTTCGACGTTAAGCTTTCCTTGCATTGTTGGGCGCACATTTTTTGCTGCACAGAGGCGAGTGCGTATCTTGGCTGCAATAAGATAGTGGTCCGAGTGGTCCCTCCCTCGGAGTGTACGTACATCTAAAACACTGGAAGCATGCCTTCCGCCTATCATAACATAATCGACTTGGTTTCTCTTTTTTCGATCTGGAGACATCCATATAGCTTGGTGGATCTTTTTGTGCTGNCACCGGGGGGCGGGTTCGTCTTCTCCACAACTTTCAGAGCTGTTACCATTCAGTAGGGTCGAAAAGCGCTACCTCCATAATTTTTGTATGTTCTGGACATCAGTTACTAGGTCGCCATTGTTGTTCTTAAAAGAGTTCGCCCTGGCCTTAAAAACTTCCAGAAATTGCAAAACTCTCTGGTAAAATTTTCGGGAGTTTTTCCTGTCGGCCAACATTTCAAGTTCTTCGTACTCACGTATTTCGGTCCCTATCTTCTTAATGCGGCAAATGCGTCTCGCTTCCTTCTTCAGCACCTTGTAACGGTCCCACATGGCTCGCGTTGCGCCCGATCGCAGCGTGGCCCTATAGGCGGCATCCTTTTTCTCTGCAGCTTCTTGACACTCTTTATCGTACCAGTTGTTCTCTTGGCCTCGCTGAAATCCGATTACTTCTTCGGCGGCTTTACTTAATGAACAGGAAATAAGGTTAGACTGCTCGCATAAGTCGGTTTGTTAAAGAGTGCTCTCTGAGAGCAGGTGTGAGAGTTGAGTAGCGAATGCATTGGCCGTCTGTTGTGATTGTAGCTTTTCGACGTTAAGCTTTCCTTGCATTGTTGGGCGCACATTTTTTGCTGCACAGAGGCGAGTGCGTATCTTGGCTGCAATAAGATAGTGGTCCGAGTGGTCCCTCCCTCGGAGTGTACGTACATCTAAAACACTGGAAGCATGCCTTCCGCCTATCATAACATAATCGACTTGGTTTCTCTTTTTTCGATCTGGAGACATCCATATAGCTTGGTGGATCTTTTTGTGCTGGAACCTAGTACTACATAATACAATGTTTCGGGCCCCGGCGAAGTCGATCAGCCTCAGTCCGTTATCGGACGTTTCGTCGTGGAGGTAGAATTTTCCGACAGTGGCGCCAAAGATCCCTTCCTTGCCAACCTTGGCATTTACATAGTCAAGCACGATTTTTATATCGTGTCGTTATCCTTGGACGTCTCGTCCTTCTCTTCCGTCGGAGCATGGACACAGATGAGCGAGATGTTGAAGAATCTCGCTTTGATGCGGATTGTGGCTAGGCGTTGACTAAGAGGGTGAACTCCAGTACTCAGCGACGGAGTCTCCCTCGCACCAGAAATGCAACACCGAATTTGCGCTCATTTACGTGGCAACTGTAGTAGAAGTCGCAAGACACAACGTTACCTTGCCTCCCATCCAAATGTGCATCGTATTTCTTGGATGGCGGTGATGTCAACCTTAGGCCCCTATTATGATTTGCATTCGATCTTCACCTGTGGTCGAAACTGCTGATCCAAGGAATTTTAATTTGGTATTATGACCCTCATTCAATGAAGAATAGCGCTATTGTGGACTTCGTTCGTTTAGGTTGTTCACAATGGTATATTTTTCACCGCTGAGAAGCTTTGTTTACAAATCGGGCAAACTAAATAGTGTGCTTATACATCTGTATGTAAATTTGCGCAAATTAGAATGAAATAAAAAATAAAGCGAGTTTATAAAAAACGTGATAAAAATGAGTACAACGGAGTGCTGGTTCAACGATTCGCCAATAGAGGATGAGAACTTAGTGAACTGGCCAGTAGTAGAAAATGTTTAAGAGAGTTTAAGTGTAGACATCGGAATATATTTTGACATAGAATATATTTAAGAAATTTGTCTACAGATTTATTCTAAACTTTCGACTATCTAAGAGGCCTTTCTGAGCCAAATCTTTTTAAAATATTTTAAAACTATCAACAGCTCTACGATATTGTTCTCAGAGATCGTGCCAACTGAGTATTGGGATTTTCTTTCACAAGTAAAACCGGCCTTTCGAGCTTGTGGTTTGTATTCACGACATTAAAACTGCATGGAATTAATAAAATTTGTTTAAAATTAGTGTCTAGCTGCCAAAAAGTAAGGAAACAAATGCAAAATTATACATTTTTAAGAATTTTCTAACACATCGCTACACCATCGAAAGCAAAATTCTGTTCGACAGAATTTCACTTTCGATCTTCGATAACCAGCGAATAACCAGGTGGATACCCTCAAATCATAGTCGTTTATACGTTTGCCGTGGTCGTCATCAATGTAAGGGGTTCTCATCCAAGGCATGTTTGAATTTTTCATTGGGCGGGGTTTTAACGTGCCGGGCGGGAGGTTTTACGCCTTCTCACTTTAGCGCGCTCCCAAACGGGTGTTTGGTCGTTACCCGGAGGATACGTGGATATAAATATCCGATAAAGACATAGTGCAGCGAACTAAAATTTAGCGGAGGAGCGCTGGGTTGGCCACGTCGTTCGAATGGACAGAAACGCTCCTGCTCTGAAAGTATTCAACGCCGTTCACGATGCTGGTAACAGGGGAAGAGGAAGGCCTCGACTGGGTGGGAAAGACCAGGGCTCGAATCGTCACATACGATATCGTACTATTCGTCACGTAAAAGTACATTTTTCGGATCATGACATACGTGAACGTACTCTTTGTCCCATTCAGCTTATACTGCCTGACGTATCACGTAATTTTCTTTCGTATCGTTTGCGATCCGTGAACGGATGTGACGATTCGTCCCAGGTGAAGGCCTTGTCTTCACATGGCATTTCCAATTGGCGTTAGTTGGCACAGAAGAGAAATTACAGGCGTGGTTTTGGACCCGGCCAAAATCACTTAGGCGGTTACAGCGCCAATAAAGAAGAAAAAGAATAAAGACGAATTGTGGAGCAATCAAATCAAAATCAAAATTCGTGGTATTACATTCTGAGAAGTGTTTATGCAAACTTGGTTAATTCGATGCGCCGAAGAGGCTCAATAAGCTATTGAAAAAATAATATTTTTGTAAGAATTTTTGGGTCAAAGTATAATTTATATAGAAACTAGCAATTACCCGGCGTGCTTCGCTGTGCCTTAAATGTATTTTTGTGTTGTAACTCTCCCCCTAAGCTCTTATGGCCTCATTTACAAAATATTTTTAAAGAACTTTATGAAGTTAGATTAAAAAAAAATCGATCTATGAAGCATTGTTTATTTTTTTTTTAGTTAATATATTTTCGAAGGTAATTGGAAAATATGTAAAGAACCGACTTTCTCTTGGAAATTTAATTTATAATCTTATAACTGGAGTCTACTATCGCACCCTTTCCTCAAACGTGTATTGATTCAATATTCAAATAACGTATATTTATATAATTTGAAAAAATCTCCCTACTATACAAATATGTACAGCAATATTAACTAATATTTTCAAATGTTGTGAGAGGGAGTAACAAAACAAAATTACTTTTAAGGCGCAGCGAAGCACGCCGGGTATTCGCTAGTGTCACATGAAATTAACTGAGCAAAGTACAATGAATAGCTGTTAAACAATGGCACCATCTACTTTAAATGAAACATACTTATTTTCGTGAGGGATACTCACACCATATACTTTTCTATTGAAATTTTTCCTGAATTTTCTTAGCTATAAACCTCCAACGAATGCAAAACCGTGGAAATCGGTTCGTGCGTTCTGGAGTTATAGCGACAGGAAGGAAAACCCTACTTATTTTTATATTAATTTTTATACTAAAGAAGATTAAAGAACTGTCCGCATTACATAATTTTATTTTTCATAAAAACGGTATTCATGAATTTTTAAATATTTTTTTTATTTGCTTCCGCATATTTTTGACACAACAGCTTTCATTTTATGCCCATATTAAACAAATACAGCCTAAGTTTACCCGGGTCCACGTTTTGGTCTGTATCTCGAGACCCTAGTCACCCAGCTATATGAAAAGTGCTCAGTCTTAAAGCATTCATGAACAGCTTTCATTTGATACCCATATTGAACAAATACACCCAAGGTTACCCAGGTCCTCGTTTTGGTCTATATCTCGAGACCCTAGTTATTTTTTAAAAATTTTCTTTGCTACAAGCCTCACGGAGCCCGAGCCCTTTTCAACGAATGTAAAACCGTGGGAATCGGTTCCGCGGTTCTTGAGTTATAAGATTACCAAGGAAATGTAACTTCTTTTTATAGCCGAGCGCACTTGTGCACAAGGGTATATTAATTTTGTTCACATAACGGTTGTTTGTAACAGCCAAAACGAATCGAGATAGATATAGACAAATGTATACATAAATGATCAGGATGAAAAAAGAAATCGATTAAGCCATGTCTGTCTGTCCGTCCGTCGTGGACGATATTTGTGGGCCAAGAGCTGATAGTTTTTTATTGAATTCAAGAAAAAGAAAACTTTTAAAGTTTAAAAGAAGAAGATTTCTTATTAAAAGGCTATCGCTAAAGCGAAAAATACCTTAAAAAGAGACATTTTTTAAAACAATAAAAGCCTTTCCCGAGGACATATTTTATTCTCATTTTCGGATGAATTGGTCCACTTTCAATGTAAGTTTTTACATGTTTTAGCACAAGTAGTACTTTCTAATCAAAGTTATTTTAATTAAGGCTTTGAAAGACGCTTTGTCTCCAACTTGGGTAACTGCAAGGTTTGGCCGCTGTGGTCATTCATTAGAAAAATGTCTATACGTAACGTTATGGAAGCTATGCAATAGCAGGGGCACCTTCCGCCAGTTTTCGGATCGTTTCAACATTGCGAGGGGAACAGCGTACTCTCTGTTCATCAAAACAATCAAAGCCATTTGTAATTTGAAAAGCGAAATTAAATGGCAATCTGTTGAATATCAGCAAACTCTCATGACGAATTTTGAAAACAGCAGAGAAAATCCGTTTCCTTTCGTAATTGGATGTTTACTAGATGGAAGAGATATACTTATGTACTTCCATATAATTAGTTTACTTTTCTAAATTTTCTTACTGAACACGGAATAAATCGTTTTTTTAGACTTCATTTTCATTTAATTTAATTTAATAAAATATATTAAATTAACATCACATGGTTTCAATAATAAAAATAAAAAAAGATTTCAATCTAGAAAGGTTAAAAAGGTACATTTCACAGCTTCATCTTATGACTAATAAAAAATAAATTCAAAATCTACTTTTGCAGACATCGGTTCAATATTGATTTGAATTCCAGCAACGCTTGGATTCGCTCTTTCTCCAGTGAAAGTTTCTCCCTCTCCACAGCCATTGCTTCGTCATGTCGGGTTTGCTCTTTAATAGCTTCTTCTTCAAAAAACTTTAATATTTCGCTGTTTGGGTTTCTCCGAGGATGTGGTGCTCTACGACTTGAAGTCGGTGGAGAATTGGGTGGCTCAACATTACCTTCTTCTAATGGCGGCGACGATGGTAGCTCCAACGACGCTTGCAGATTTTGTGGCGGAGGATTGATGGAGTGCCTGGTACCATACAGCTCGTCAAAATCTTCAAAATATAGCCAAGATGTTGCTTCCCTACCGGAGGAATTATTGCGC